TGAGTACAGGTACTTCAATTGATCTTAGTCAGTATTTACTCATCTCAGTCTCTGACACTTGGTTTGCAGCTGTCACTCAGTCACTAACTTTAGAATCCTCTCAATTGGTCTGTAACTCTCTTTGTGTGCACGTGTGATATTCATTTTGAGTTTTCTTTTATTCACCTTGGGATTTGGTCATTGCAGGCCAGGCCAATATTTATTGCCCTTCCTAATTGCTCGTAAGAAGATTGTGGTGAGTTTGTCTTCTTGAACTGCTGCAGTTCTTGGGAGTGTAGGTATTTCCACAGGTAAGGTAGATAGGATATTTGAAACCTTCTTGTTGCAGGCCACCTCTTCTTTAACAATGCAACTTACATTGATATAACACTTTAAATATTGTAAAACACCCAAGAAATTTCACATGCACAGAATCAAAGTATTTTTTAATTCATTCATAAGATATTGAAATTGCTGGCAAGGTCAACATTTATTGTCAATCACTAATTGTCCTCAAGAAGGTGCCAAGATATCTTCTTGAACGCTGCATTCAATTGAAGATATTACCCCAGTTCCAATAGGAAGGAAGTTTCAGGATTTTGATCCAACAACAGTGAAGGAACAGTGATATTGTTCCAAGTCAAGATGGCAAACCCACAGGTTATGGTATTCATATGAGCTACTAAGTTTGTTCTTCTAGGTAATAAGAGGTTTTGGGTTACATCGAAATGAAAAGAACAATAGGTCTAACTGTGAGACATGTTGTTCAGATGTCTTAAGGATTCCAGTTGTTATAGAGATACCATTACTTGGATGAATCACATTGGTTTACAGGGGCTGATTAGCAATTCAGAAAGAAAATCAATAAGGAATTCAACAGAAAGTAAAACAAAAACGTGCATAATAAAAATGCAAACCCACATGACCAGTTAGAACTTCAGCAAGATTTGTGTGGTGGAGAGCAGGGTGAACATCAAAATGTCTGCTTCTGAGGAAGTTCTGAGTCACTGGACTTGAAATGTTAACTCTGATTTCTCTCCACAGATGTTGCCAGACCTACAGAGCTTCACCAGTAATTTCTATTTTTGTTTTTGATCAAAATGCGTGGGCCTGAATGACACAGAAGAGATTTTAACTTCATGCAGTCCAACACTCAGGCAAATTATTGCGAGGATTACAAAAGGGCATTGATATAATGAAGGGGTGGAAGGGAAGGAGTTTGGAGCATTAACCCTGAACATCTGGACACACTCGCAAGTAAACACGAAACAGAAAATCTGCATACCTATTTGGGCCTCTTCCAATTCACAGCCTCTTCCAGGTAAGTTGGTTTGATGAGGAACAAACAACATACAACAGTTTTCCAACACCGATCTCCAGTTAAAATTTCAGCCAGGCCGTGATGAAATTATCGGAGCCTGATCTGCGTACTTGAAGATAGACCCCACAAGGAGTGCGTTCTTTCTACCTGCTCTAGTTAAAATCAAAATCCATGGAAAGATAACATGATCAATGCAGGTAAATTCTCCAGGTTGTTACAAATGTTCACTTGTCAACTTTCTGCCAGGATTAAAAATCAGCATGATTGAATTCCAATGCTTCATTAGTAATAACCCACAAAATTGAGATTCTTACCATGTTTGTTTCAAAATTCTGTACGTGTATTTCAAATCATAGCGTAATAGAGTCATACAGCACTGAAGCAGACCTTCGGTCCAACAAGTCCATGCTGAACATAATCCCAAACCAAACTCGTCCCATCTGCTTGCTCCTCCAACTCTTTCCTATTCATGTACTTATCCAAGTGTCTTTTAAATGTTGTAATTGTAATTGTGCTCATGTAAACCACTTCCTCAGGAAGTTCATTCCACAAGCGAACTACCCTCTGTGTAAAGAATTTGTCTCTCATGTCTTTTTTAAATCTCTCTCCTCTCATCTTAAAAATATGCCCCCTAGTCTTGAAATCCCCCATTCTATGAAAAAGACACCTACCAGTAGCCCTATCTATACCCCTCATGATTTTATAAATTTCTATTAGGTCACCTCTCAACCTCCTATGCTTCAGTGAAAATAGTCCAAACCTATCCAGCCTTTCTTTATAACCCAAATTTTCCATATCCAGCAACATCCTGGTAAATCTCTTCTGAACCCTCTCCAGCTTAATAATATTCTTCCTATAACTGGGTGAACAGAACTGCACGCAGAACTCCAGAAGAGGTCCTGTACATGTTTTCAGTGAAATAATATTTCAGTAGCATGAACATTAAAGAAATGATGCGCAAAGGCTAATTAATCTACTTGGCTGATCCCACAGCTACTTCAAGTTACCAAGGATCCAAATGCATTTGAGCTTTCCTAACCTCTGGGGTCCCATTACCTCATCGGTAGACAATTTAAAGTATTCAGCATACTCTAAGTTCAGAATTATTTTTCTGCTCCCTAAAGTTCAAAAAGATGCTGGAGACTTGGAATGATACTGAAGAAAGCAACTCAAATCATTGATGAGATTGAAAGATCAGATTATAACAAGCAAATTCACAAATCGAGCATATTCTTTCTGGAAAAATGATGGTGGAGAAGATATATGATTGTTATTGAGTTTGAAAGGGACCAAGAAAGCAGAAGGTGACTGGATGGGTCAGCACATATTTTAAGTAGCAATTCCTATATTCTTCAGGAGTATTTTAAATTTACTTCTCACTCTTCTTAGCATTGGCTTGCTCACTTAACAAAATATGATTTTAATACGTGATGAGTTTCTGAAGTTTTGATTGTAACTTATCCTTTTGCATAGTTGACAGGGAAATATATCAGAAGCTAATGATGTCCTTGAAAACTGTGAGCTTTGACATTGGAGACTGTGTTTTTAAGTCCACATTTTTATTAGCCTGTGATGCTTGAGGATTGGGATGTTTAAATCAGGGCATACAGCTGAGAGAAGAAAGACCTGCTATGGATAGACTCTTCCCTGATAAACCAGGTTATTAGTTGATTCTATAACTCATATTTAACCTTTGAAGGGAAAATAAAGAACATGCTGAAATACCACACAGTATAATGTAGATACAAAGGTTCAAGACCTATACATCATAAGACTAACTGCAAAATTACAATGGATTTTTATTCCCTCTGATCATACACTATTTAACACATATATGTGAAATTCCTTTGTGTAAATGTTAACTCAGTTTATTGACTGAGTGCAAACAGAACAATTGGATATTTGTAAGCGAACGTGTAAAGCAGTAAAATCCCTAAAATACTAGCTGCTTGCTATAGAGACCAAACCATGCTGTGGGTGTGGGCACTAATAGATTGTTTTGTCTTATTGTTCTTTATAATTTTCGATGGATTGTGGATGTCATTGACAAGGCCAGCATTTGTTGCTCATCCCTAATTGCCTATAAGTTAAGTAGTTTTCTTGGTCATTTTAAAGGACAATTATGAGTCAACCACATTGCTGTGGGTCTGGAGTCACATGGAGGCTAGACTAGGTAGGAATGACAGATTTCCTTGCCTAAAGGACATTAGTGAACCAGATGGGTTTTTACAACATTTGAAGATAGCGTCAACTTTCCTGTTCCTCTGATGCTGCCTGGCCTGCTGTGTTCCTCCAGCTCCACACTGTGTCATCTCTGACTCCAGCATCTGCAGTTCTTGCTATCTCCTGACAGCATTAACCTGGGCCTCTGAATTATGAGCCTACTGATATTAGAACATAGAACATTACAGCGCAGTACAGGCCCTTCAGCCCTCGATGTTGCGCTGACCTGTGAAACCAATCTGAAGCCCATCTAACCTAAACTATTCCATTATCATCCATATGTTTATCCAATGACCATTTAAATGCCCTTAAAGTTAGCGAGTCTACTACTGTTGCAGGCAGGGCATTCCACGCCCTTACTACTCTCTGAGTAAAGAACCTACCTCTGACATCTGTCCTATATCTATCACCCCTCGTGCTAGCCATCACCATCCGAGGAAAAAGGCTCCCACTGTCCACCCTATCTAATCCTCTGATCATCTTGTATGTCTCTATTAAGTCACCTCTTAACCTTCTTCTCTCTAACGAAAACAGTCTCAAGTCCCTCAGCCTTTCCTCATAAGACCTTCCCTCCATACCAGGCAACATCCTGGTAAATCTCCTCTGCACCCTTTCCAATGCTTCCACATCCTTCTTTATAATGCGGCGACCAGAACTGTACGCAATACTCCAAGTGCGGCCACACCAGAGTTTTGTACAGCTGCAACATGACCTCGTGGCTCCGAAACTCAATCCCTCTGCCAATAAAACCTAACACACCGTACGCCTTCTTAACAACCCTATCACCTGGGTGGCTACTTTCAGTGATCTATGCCCATGGACATCGAGATCTCTCTGCTCATCCACACTACCAAGAATCTTACCATTAGCCCAGTACTCTGTATTCCTGTTACTCCTTCCAAAGTGAATCACCTCACACTTTTCCGCATTAAACTCCATTTGCCACCTCTCAGCCCAGCTCTGCAGCTTATCTATGTCCCTCTGTAACCTGCAACATCTTTCCGCACTATCCACAACTCCACCGACTTTAGTGTCATCCGCAAATTTACTAACCCATCTTTCTACGCCCTCATCCAGGTCATTTATAAAAATGACAAACAGCAGTGGCCCCAAAACAGATCCTTGTGGTACACCACGAGTAACTGAACTCCAGGATGAGCATTTCCCATCAACCACCACCCTCTGTCTTCTTACAGCTAGCCAATTTCTGATCCAAACTGCTAGATCACCCTCAATCCCATGCCTCCGTATTTTCTGCAATAGCCTACTGTGGGGAACCTTATCAAATGCTTTACTGAAATCCATATACACCACTATATATTACACGACATATATTACCACTATGCAACCAATTTCTGGTTTGAGTCTAATATGAAAGCAAGGGACAGATTTATTCCCCCACGTACCAATAATTTTGTTTTATTTGTTCACAGAATGTAGGTGTCGTCGGCGACAATTTATTGCCTAGAGGGCAATTGAGAGTCAACTACATTTGCTGTGGTTCTGGAGTTATGTGAAGGTCAATCAAGGTAAGGATGGCAGGTTTCCTCGCCCAAACAAAATGAGTGAATTCGATGGGATTTTGTAAGACAACTGACGGTGCTTACATGAATACCATTAGGCTAGCTTTTGTTTCATTTTGGATTTTTATTTGAATTAAAATTTTACCATCTGCAATGTTGCGATTTGAACCATGTGTCCAAAGCATCATCATCGAGTTGTAACTCACTAATCCAGAGACACGGCCACTACCCCAGTGCTCCCACAACCCGCCCCCCCCCCTTGCCCATGGTTAATAACATACATTTACATAAAACATAGAAGAAAATAATTTTGTACAAGATCTTTGTACAAGTGCAAGCACAGAAATAATTGAAGAAATCAAGTACTTTGTTATTATGAGACTTTAAAGAAAGCTTTCTTTCTTTTTATAAGGATTTGAGCAGTGACAGATCGGATTCACGCAGAGGTTGCGCTTGGGCTTCAGGGGAGCGCAATTCTCGTTCTGATCCTCTGCTATGACTTCAAAGACACATTATCGATCACGTCAACATGCCTACAAAACAAAACCGGTTGCACTTGCCTGGCTTCAAGCTCGCCTTCCTTTGCTCCGTTTCTGATTGGTGCCAGCGAGTTCGGGGTGAGATCGCGGATGATGCAGTGAACTGATTGGGCTCGGTCGGTCAATGGGCCGAACGTTTCTTTAACCAAGTGTTAAAGTCAGAATTGTATCTGGACAGGTACCATCGCCTACCGGAGAGGAAAATCTGAATGAATGTCTCCGGGAGTTTCTGGTGGTTGTTTTTCTCTTTCTGTGAGGAAGGTGGTTTTAACTGCACTGCTTTTAATTCCTTAGGAAGATGCTGGGAGCTTCTGTGGTCTCCTCCACCAACGAATCTTTCGAATATCTGAACATTTCGTGTTTGGGGAATGGGTGCAGTAACGCGACAGCCGCTCCGAGACCCCCGGTGTTGATGGACGCCTGGCTGGTGCCTCTCTTCTTCGGGATTCTCATGGTGGTGGGTCTGGCTGGAAATTCACTGGTGATTTATGTGGTAACGAAGCACAAGCAGATGCGCACAGTTACCAACTTTTACATAGGTAACAGCATCGAAGACTAAATTCATCGAGTTCTAAATCTGTAGTATGTCATCTCCGTTTTTGGACTTTTTCAGTGATACATAGGGTCGCCACAATGCTAATTAATCACCCTTCATATAAGCATTATTTTTGCATTTAATTAATGTTGTTTTTGCAGCCAGATAACTGCCGTCAACCCTCCCCATCAATCCAGGCTGGGACCGGTTCTGATACCTGCTGGCTAGCCTGCATCACTGTCTAGGTTATTTCAATACTGTATAATAAACAGTGATTAATTTATAACGGCAATCTGGATGTGTGAATTACATGCAGATTCATGCATGAATAATTTTAACACTATCAAACTATGATTTCCTCAATCAGGTAGTCTGAAATTAATGAATATCTGATTTGAGAGGAGAGGTATATTTTATTTCAATGTACGTTAAATAATCGTTATGTAAGTCTTTTAATTTTTAACAAAGGACGGATTTAATTTTGTAACTACAGATTTTCCGAGTTAATGTTTTGTTTGGTTTTGTTTTAAATTAAACCAGTAGCAGTAAAAATTCAGAGAAAAGATATTCATTTTGTATTTGTAAATCTGAAAGACAGAAGTTTATACAAATGTCGCTTTTGATATACAGGGGCATCAATCAGCTCTTGATTAAAAGATTATATTAACCCAGTATACAGTGCTCTGTGAAAAAAGATTCTAATTTATTTATCTAAGTATGGTAATAACACTGTAGTATTTAAGTTCTTTAAATTATAATAATAATTCTCAGAACTATGATGGTTAATTGCTTGGGCTGTAACTTGATTGATTTCCCAATTGTCTTTTAGATTGAAATTGCTCTAAGCTTTTCTTTCTTTTTCTAGCAAACCTGGCTACAACTGATATTATTTTTCTGATATGCTGTGTCCCATTCACTGCAGTCCTATACCCACTCCCGAGCTGGATTTTCGGGGAGTTCATGTGCAAATTTGTCAATTACATACAACAGGTGAGTTTCCTATGCTTCCCTGATAAATGTCTGTTACTGTGAACTGATTTAACATAGATGCATTTTCTGAGCCATGCTAAAACCAAATTTCATTGGTTACAGTTCAGACATTTATTTATTTAGTGTTTGCAAATAGGTCCTAATATCTTTTAGGGAAGGAAACCTGCCATCCTTACCTGACCTAGCAACCATGTGACTCCACATTCATGGTAATGCATTGACTCTTAACTGTTTCCTGAAATGGCTTTGCAAAGACATATATGGATAGGCAAAAATGCTGGCCATCCAGCGATATCTATGTCCCCTCAAAGAATAAAAAGTATGCATCTCGATATAGGACAACATTTTTTGACTGTTGTCTCTACCGTATGTAAAGTGTATGTCACCAGATGATTTAGTTTGATAAAACAATGTAGGACATGATTTTCATTATGCTGCAGAACACTTATCACCATCAGGAAAGTGACATAGATGAAGGCAGTTGGTGGATTGTATACAAGTCCTGTTGCCGCACAGTCAGGGAAATAGTTGTGATGTTTACACTGGAGCTAGCTCATCTCCTTAAGACCATGAAATGTATGAACAGGAGTTAGCTATTGGCCCATAAAGTCTGTTTCATCATTCAATAAGATCATGGCTGATCTGATAATCCTCAACTCTACTTTCCTGCCTTTTCCCCATAACCCTTGATTCTGAAACTGCTTAAAAATCTATTCCTGCCAGTCTTGGATATACTTAATGACCCAACTTTGACAGCCCTTTGGTAAAGAATTCTACAGATTGACTACCTGTCCTTTTCATTTCTGTTCTAACCGAATGAATCTTCTCTTTGAGATTATACTCTGTTCCTGGACTTTCCCACAAAGGGCAAGAACGTCTCCACATCCATCTTGTAAAGCCCCCGAAGAATCTTGCATCGTTCAGTAAGGTCACCTCTCATTCTTTCAACTCCATTGAGTTTGGGCCTGACCACTCAACTTTTCCTCATAAGGACTTTCCATCCATTCCAGGGATCAATGTAGTGAAACTTTTCTGGACTTCCACCTATGTCACTATATCTTTCCTAAGGTAAAGGGACTAAAACTATTCACATTATTTCAGATATACTCTAATTAGTACCTTGTTGCCTGACCTGGAGGGTTTTAGTTTTGAGGAGAGGTTGGATAAACTCAGATTTTCACTGGAAAGACGGAGGTTGGGAGGCAACCTGATAGAGGTCTACAAAATTATGAGGCATAAATAGGGTGAATAGTCAGAGGCTTTTTCTCGGGGTGGGAAGGTCAACTGCAAGAGGGCACAAGTTCAAGGTGAGAGGGGGAAAGTTTAGGGGAGAAGTGCAGGGGAAAGTTTTCACACAGAAGGTGGTGGGTGCCTGGAATGCACTGCCAGTGGAGGTGGTGAAAGCAGGCAGGTTAGCAACATTTAAGGTGTATCTTGATAGACACATGAATGGGAGGAAACAGAGGAATAGAAACTGCCATGGGCAATAAATAGACGGTCTAAATAAGGATTAGGAATCGGCGCAGGCTCGGTGAGCTGAAGGACCTGTTTCTGTGCTGTATTGTATTGTGTTATTGTATTGGATACGTTTAGCAACACTTCCCTATTTTTATACTCCATTCCATTTGAAACAAAGGCTAACAGTCCATTTGCCTTCCCTATTGCCTGTTGAGCTCGTATGCTAGCTTTTTATGACTTATGCATGAGGACTCCCAAATTTCTCTGTGCTGTAGCTTTCTGTAGTCTTTCTTCATTTAAATACTATTCCACTGGTCTGTTCTTCCTGCAAAAGTGCATAACCTCACATTTTCCCATATTGCCCACTTTTTTTAATCTGCCTATATCTCTCTGCAGACTTTTTGTCATCTTCACTACTTGCCCTCCCACCTATTTATGTGTCATCCAAAAATTTGGCCTATACTACATTCACTTTTCTTGTCTAAATCATTAATGTAAGTTGTAAATAATTGTGGCAGCACAAGTTACAAGTTTCCATCCTGAAAATACCCTCTTTATCTCAACTGTCCGTCTTCTATTGGTTAACCAATCCTGTATTTATGCGAGTGTACTACTTCCAGTACCATGGGATCTTTTTAGTAGTCTAACATATGGTGCCTTTTTAATGCCTTTTGTAAATCCAAATTGATACTTCTGCTGTTTTCTTTTTAATTTATCCTGCCTGTTGCCTCCTGAAAGAACTGTAATAAATTTGTCAGATATAGCTTCCCCTTCATGAAGCCATGCCCACGATACCTGATTTTATTATGTATTTCTAAATATTCTGCCGTTACATCCTTTATAATAGACTGTAAAATTTTTGCAGTGACACATGTTAAGCTGATCAGCCTATAATTACGTGTCATTTGTGAAGAAAAATCAGAGTTAATGTTATCTCTGATTTTTCTTCACAGATGCTGCCAGCAACTTCTGTTTTTGTTCTTGATTTACAGCATCCGCAGTTCTTTCAGTTTTTATTACATGTTATTTGTCCTCTTCTATTTTGAATAAAGTTGTTACATTTACAGTTTTGCAATCCTCACTCACTTTTCCATAATATAAGGATTCTTGCAAGATGGACTGGTTGGACCAAAGGATCTGTTTCCATGCTGTATAACTCTATAACCATCAGTGAATCCACTATCTCTGTGGCTACTTCCTTTAATATCCTAGATGCACCCCATCACGTCCAGGGGACTTATCTAAAGTTCCTGTTCAAATATTCCTTGTGGGGGAGTTGGTTTAAATCAGCAATCTAGGTAATAATAATTACTGGTTAAGTTCTAGATGTGGATCAGAAGAACTGAAATGCATTACAGTTTTTAAAGATTGTTTTGCAGCTCTAATAAGATATGTGATATCTAACATGAGTCACATATGCACTAAACAGAAGCCAATGTGTAACAGTGGATTCCAGAAAATATATTTTTATTCAGAAACCCTTCATGTGCTGCTGAAAATGGTCAAACTTGCAAAGAAGTAGAAATATTTTATTGACATAACCAATTCTACTGAAGAATCCCATCTAAACACATACCTTTTTTTGATAAGTTGTAATAAGTCAGGATCTGGTTCAGTAGCACCCCTGGTTGCTCAAGAGGTCTGGTTTTCTGATTCGTGCAGGCATTGACTCCAGTGCCCTTAACCCAAAAGTGTGATAAATGGCAAAGTCTTATAGGGACCTGAGCAACATGGGCTATTGCGAGAAATCTGGAAGAATCATGCAACAAGTCCAACAAGGCCTATCTGGACACTGGGAACAACTTGCTGCATTTTTTTGTCTAAGTTCCGGAGGCCAAGGCGAGATTCTCACTTGACCACATTGAGTTGCCTGTTAAGGAGGATTATTGCTTGTTAATGACTTAATAGGGACAAAATTGCCCTATTAATGTGCAGCATTCTGTCTTACCATCTACTGCAAGCAATGCAGACGCTGAGAATTCTCGACATGGAAGTTGAAGGCAGCCCTGGTGATTCAATTCGCCATTAGCTTCAAAGGACTCCATTTTGGTTACCATGAAACAGGACCTCAGGGCATGAGCCCTGGGCACTAACTGCATGAATCCCTCATCCACATTTATTGGCATCCGATAATTGTCAACCTTTCAGCATCTTCGTGGCACCTTTTCAATACATTTTCATGATGCCAAGGAAGTTGAGACCTGCACTTCAGGGTGACCTGGTAACTAGCATTGAAAGACTGCAGCAGAGATGCTTCTCACTCCCAGACAGACACCCAGCTGATGGACTGGGCCTAGCTGTGTCTCAGAGATGTTTGCTTGTTCTCTTAGTGCTTTGCTTTCTTAGCAACTCGGAGCATCCCTGCATTGCCTTGTATTGCCTATTAACACTGTTACACAACCAGGCAGGTTGCCTTGCTGATAGCCACCCTCAGTCAAGAGGGCAAAGATTTTGCTGTACAGCACATTGCTACATCAGTCTGTCAATCTTACACCTACACCATGTGCCAACAGCTTATGTGGCAAACACTTGCAGCAAACAAGCAGCCATGTCTTGAAATCTTAGGGGAGTAGTCCTTACCAAATACTATAGCGGGATTCATCAGTCAGGGATTCCCAACACAGGAAGTCAAGGGCAGCTGCCAATACCAATCCAGGGATTGGCCATGATCAGTCACCTGGGTGGGGTCCTCTCAGTTTGGTAATCCGTTCCTCTGCAGTCTGGGGAATGAGTCACCGTGTGTCTTGTTGCTTCGTAGATATAAGTCCAGGAAATGGATGAAAGCAGTCAGTGAGATATACTGGCATCAATCAGGGGTTTGGGAATTTCTCATCCAGGGCTGTCTGTTTAGATCACTCAATCAGCTAGGCCAAGGTCAGTCTAATGGATCCATCCAAAAAAACTAAGGGGAATAATGACAAGGGGTCTGCTGCTGTCAGAAGGAGACCCCATGAGACTGTAGGGTTTAGAGGATGGAGGTGCGGGATGGGGGTGGAAAGGTGATGACAACTGTGAAGGAGCAGCAATTGTATTTGTAAGGAGGGGATCATGGGAAGGCATGGATATACTTGTAGAAAGAGAGATTGTCCACAGTCAGGAGCACCCTGACTTCAAGGCAGTGAGAATGTATATTTGTACCTGGCATGTTCATGTCGTATGCAAGAGGCTGGGGGTGTGGTGGTTGTCGGCAGGTGCAGGCTCATTTTGTCAGATTGTATAGTGGCCTGGGGTTTCACAGGAAGGGCTGTCAGGATGAAGATCCAGACGTTTTGAGGGCTCACTGGAGGGTCTAAAGCACTTCCAAAGGAGTGCTCGCTGTCACCTCCCATTGTTTTGTAATGGCCGTGACCACATCTGGAGAGGATGGGCTAAGTGTCACAACCTGTGAGGAAGGGGCTGCAAGACCTACAGATGTGAGTCAAATGGCAACAATAATAAACACAGACCCAGGCACTGTACAGGACACAAACCTGGGAGCTAACGATCCCTCATGCCCCTAATGCATTGGCTCTCTGTCTGTTGGACAACTCTCTCTACCTCAG